CGCTGCACTTCTTCTCTTTCGCCGATCATCTTCATCTCCCTCGTCTGTTCTGCTCAAAACGATCTGTATCGTTTTCGGGTGAAACCATGAAGGTAAGGTATAAAAGCAAAATTCAATAAAAAATTTAAAATGCCCAAAAAAAAAAGTTTTTTAGTTGACTTTAGTTGACCGGTTGAACCGGTCGGGTGAACCGGTTCAACCTGTTGACTCGGACCCGGTGGTCAAAACGGACCAGCCACCGGGCCGGGTCCAAAAACATTGAATATAATGGGTTAATAGGTGAAGATATGTTTGATATAATTTAAGAAAGTATATCAAATAAGATAGGAAATCCCGCTGTCACATAAATAATAAATACCTTGGAAGTATATTACTCTAAATTCGATATTAATTGATTATGATGAAATCGGATGCTTTAGAATTTTAACTCTTAGTATTACTTAAAGTCAATTTAATTTTTTTTTAATTAATTTAGTTATTTAATTTATTCAAATCATTAAATTTCAATTATTCAAATAAAATTAAAATTAATTAATTTTGGTACTTAATTAATCTACGATCTCTATCAAACATAATTTTGGTACTCATCAAATTACATTTAATTCATGTTTGCTAGACAGTTGACATATCTGGACCATTTTCTTCAAATTGCAGTTTGTAATCTAAGCATCAAATCTCAACCCCAACCAACTATTAAAGACACAAGCACACCTACCACATTAATTGCGCAGAGTTACAATGCAAAACGGCACTTCTAACAATTGGTTTGGTCATTTGGAGACGCGGTTTACACAAGAGGACATCAATGGTTTATGAAGACTTTTCAAATCAGGCAACCGAGGAGGCAAATAAGGGGTGGTGAAAGATTGAATATAGGAGAATGTAGTGAATATGATATATTTCTGCCCGTGCTAATATTTCATTTGTATGTTTCTTTTTTCTTCTTGTCTCTGTTGTGTGGATTACAAGTCGAGTTTAAGACCAATGTATACTATCAAGTTCATTGCATGCCCAACGTGATATAGAATGTAAATTAAATCTGCTTGAATTGATCCAGGCAAGATCCTCTCGCTGGATAGAGGAAAATACCAGAGTTTAGGCTATGATTTTGCTAACTGGTGTCCATTCCCATCTTATTGCCCAGAGGAAATACCGAGGGCGTATTAGATGTCAGTGGAAGTGCATTAGTATGAAGTTTTTGTAAGTGTTTTTGTCTGCTAGGAATCTCTTGTGGACTCAGACGTCTTTTGAGATTGATTTAAATGTATGTGCGTTGGGGTACTGCTTGTACCCCGTTTAATAAAATTCATCTGTCTGTAAATTAAAAAAAAAAAAAAAAATCTGCTTGAATATATTCATTAATGTGAAAATGCAACTTATCATTAAAAAAATGCAATTTGAGAGCGGTGTGAAGTTTTGATAGAGGCAGCTGAATCTTTGGTTGTACAGGCATGATTTGTTTCTTCTTTTAAAATAAATAAATAAATAAATGTACAGAAGAGCATGCAAGAGAGGGAGAGGCATACTTCATTGCAGGTCTCCCAAACGGTCCCACCTCCGTCAGGTACGTCAATGTTTGGTTTTATTAGTTGATCAACTTGCTTGACTTTTGGTCCCTTGCTGTTATGATTGTATCTAACATTTAGAAGTGTTCAATTCAAGTCAAGTTGCTTTCGTGGATTATGGGGTGGTTGGATTCTGATAGATATTTTTTCCCGTGATATTGTTGATATATTCGTCAACTTGCCTAATCAATTTTCCTACTCATATTGAGAAATAACAAAGATGTAAATCTCTTATTGTATATCATTGATTTTTTTTTAAAGGCAAAACAAATTATAATTATTATTAAAGGAGTAAAAGGTACTGCTATCATTACATCAAAAATACAAATATGCTTCCTTAATCTCGAAATCATCCTCACATCAGCAGACAAGTCTTCTCCTTCTCACCCTACACATCCTTTTGTCCAATGAAAAAATTGCTGTTCTTGATTTAACTTAAGGTACCTACTGTGGCTTGCATTTTGTGTTGCATACCAGACAAAGTTATGGTCTTAGCAAGAGAAATATTAGTAACAACAGTTAATTTGTTGCATTGAAGAATTGCAGGTCACAGTGGGGTGGAGCTATAAACAATTATTAAGGAAAGAGTACCTTGATTTGGGGTATTGAAGATTATACCAGTCCGCCTTTACTCTAGATTTGGTATTGGATGTATCTTATGCTTGTATATCAATATTAAATTCTCTGACTGTTTCAACACAAACCATCCCTGTATATATGTATGTATACATGTATTTATGCGTGTGTGTCTTGAATTTGTACCTAGTAATAATGAGACACTTGTATTTTTAAGTAATGTATTCGGGCCTATTTGTATCTTATATATGCTTGTAAATCTATATTCAAGTATGTTGATATTTTCAAGGCATCTTGGTTGAATTGGTATGAGCAGTCATGGTCATCTTTTAACATTGAACAGTCAAAAGTTGTTATAGGATTTGTTATGGATAGTGATGGTTAACACTTAAAAAACTTGTGGATACGAGGGCTCAAAAGGGTCAAGCTTTTGCCCTCTTCCTTAGCAGATAAACTGAATATAATTGTCTATAAAAGCTCTTCACTTTCATGAATTTCTACAAGTTCAAAACCAACATATCCAAACAAATCTTGCATGGCTTCCTCCTCCACTCATTTCTTTCTTTTAAGCTTGGTTTTCTTGATGATCTCCTTCTTTCAACTATCCTCACATCAACAACTGTGTCATAAGGATGAGTATCTTGCTCTTATGCAATTCAAAGATAGCTTTGTCATTGATAGGCAAGCATCTACTTGTCCTAAAATCAACCTTTGGAAATCTCAAGGGGTTGATTGCTGCTCATGGGAGGGCATATGGTGTGACCAGAACACTTCTCATGTCATAGGGCTTGATCTTAGTAGCAGTTGTCTTTTGGGTTCTATCAATTCCAGCAGTAGCCTCTTCCGCCTTGGACACCTTCAATACCTCAACCTTGCACTCAATGACTTCAATTTCTCTAAGATACCACCTGCAGTGGGCAATCTTTCCAAATTAACTTATCTCAATCTCTCTAGTTCTTTCTTTTCTGGTCAAATTCCACATGAAATTTCAAAACTCTCCAATTTAGCCAAGCTTGACCTTTCTTTCAATCTTGATTATTCACATCAAGGATTGTTAGAACTCAAAAGGCCTAATTTGAATAGCCTAGTTCAGAACTTAACCAAGCTAGAATGGCTTGACCTCTCTTATGTTGGTATAAATTCTCCAATACCAAAGTCCTCGGCAAATATGTCGTCATTGACACATCTCCATTTCGGTCAATGTGGATTGCACGGAAAGTTTCCCATAGACATTTTTCAACTACCTAAACTTCAAGTCCTTGATTTGGAGAACAATTGGGAACTTAGTGGTAGTTTTCCTGAATTTCACTCTCACAGTCAGCTTAGGGCACTCGATGTTGGAAACACAACCTTTTCTGGTGAGTTACCTATCTCAATAGGAATGCTTAGCTCTTTAGAATATTTAGATGTTAGTAGTTGTAACCTCTCAGGTTGGGTACCACCTTCAATTGGTAATCTCACCAAACTCCACATATTGAACCTCCCAAATAATTCTTTCAAGGGAGAAAACGCTCCTTTCTTCTCAAACCTCACTCAACTAACTCAAATAAATCTTAAATTAAATCAATTCACTTTTAGTGAGGTCCCTTCTTCTTTGGCTAGTTTGAACCATCTCATGAAGATAGACCTTTCTTATAATCATATTACTGGCAATTTTCCATCTTGGATTACAAACCTAACAGATTTAAGACAATTGGGTCTCGGGTCTAATATGTTACAGGGCTCTCTTCCAAGCTCAATTTCCAAACTCAAGAACCTTGAATCACTCTATGTTTACTTCAATAACTTAAGTGGTATTGTTGAGTTTGACACATTTCTTGAACTCAAATCCCTTAAATATTTGGAATTAGGCTTTAATAATTTCTCATTAGTAATCAAAACTCCCACCAATGGAACAATTCCAAAGTTTAAAA